CGGTATCTCAAACAAAAATTGATTTATTGTGCTCGCCATTGAGAAGTTGGCCTAAAGTCGAACTGAGAGCGAAAAACACCTGCCCGAAAGTGTTGCCAAATGGCAGCCAAATTAACAACTGGTTGGCAATAGCCGAACTCGAGAGATTACACAATGAAGCTGAGCGAGCTCAAAACAGAAGCTAAAGTCAAAGCTGAGACTATGGAAAATAGCTGAAGCTAAAGTTGAGCTCCGAATTTCTGGCACGCATAAATAACACATTTTTCGGGGCAAAATGCTAAAGATATTTTCGCCAAAAATGCCAAGACACAGAAGACTTGCCAAGAAAATAAAAGTAAAATGCCCGCACGTCTTTGGAGTGGCTTGCGACTTTTATTTCTATTTATTTTCTTGGCTTTTTCTCTTTCTTTATTTCGTTTCATTTTGGGGCAACTTGAGCGGTTTGGGCATGGTCACAACCGAGTGTCTCAACTTATTTTTGGCCTTTTCAAAGACACACACGCACACAGAGATACGAGTGAGTGAGACATGTTTGCCCACATTCAAATATATATTTTTTTTCAAGGTTAGGTTTTGTCGCCGTTTTGCTTCCCGCATTTCAAGTCAACAATTGTAGTTCTGTATTTTTTATTTTTTGGGAGCTCAAGTACTCGCCAGCGTGACTCTCAAGTTAATTACTGGTCAACTAACTCGAAATTGATTTCAAGAATCAACTGATAAAGCCCGATTCAAGCCGAGCTAAGGTCAAACTTCACCTCGAGTTGTCGTGTTTCTGTGTCTCTCTAGTGCTTTTTGTGGGCTTCTGTCCACTTTGAATAATCATTATGCCTGGCATTGAACTGAATTCATATAGACTGGCTGTGTGAGTGGGTTCGGTCTTTCAGCGATTAGCAAATATTTATGGAAAAATTGTAACCAATTTCAATTCCAATTCGTTGGCGATAAAGGGAGAACCGAAGGCGACCTTGAAAATGCTAGATAAACCCCCGCCGAAACAGTAAATTGACAAGACGTTAATTGCTGCGGCAATCCGAATATCGGCGGAATATTACGCATACGCAGTGTAAGCTTCTGGCAAATAACGAATGAGATAAACCCTATAATTACCAATGCACACGCTAATTACCAAGGTCAACACGGATAGGGGAGAGAGCGTCAGTGTATGAGATACTGTAGCTCAGGTGCAAAAGATACTAAGATACTAGATACTAGGGTACTAAGGTATGGATGGTGGGGGTGGCACGTACAGAAGCTGCTTGGCTGGAGTTGAAACGATGGCTGGTGCTGAAGCTGAAGCTGATGCTGCTGCTGCTGCTGGTGATGCTGGTGGATGAGCTGGTGTCCCAGCTGTTGGGGGCTTGTACTCAGATCCTGCTGCATGCTGGACGTTGACGCTGTTCTGGCAAACAACATGCTGCTGCCAACTGCGCGGGAGTTGGTTGTATGAATTTCGAATACAAAATAATAAGCGATTTCTAAGAGCGAATGCCAGCGAGCGAGCGCACGAAACGAGCGACAAAACGACACTGAAGAATTCCAAAGACGGAGCCCAGACTCAAGCATAGAGTTTGGAGAAGAGAGGAGAGAGGAGAGCCGGAGAATTGGAAGAGCGGCTACAACTGGAGAGCCACACAACCGGAGAGTGGGAGAGCTGGGAGAGCTGATGTTGGCGGCAACTGTGAGTCACAGTGATCATGGGCAGATGATGATATGTGTATGTATGTATGAAGCTATCTGTGTGTGTATGATCTAATGCTGCCCCTGCTTGGCTAATTGCCTCACATCATTCCATGTCACTCCTCGGTTCATTATCAGAGAGAGCGAGAGAGAGAGAAAAGAAGCACTAGCCAAAAGGGAGCCCCAAAAAGAGAGGGAGTGTGTCGAAAATAGAAACTGCTGTGGCAACATGTGATACCGAAACGGAGTCAACGTGATAAGCCAAACAGCGGAAAGAGTGAACGTGTCACGTTTTTTAGACATCAAACTAAAAATTCGATTGCCCTTTCAATAACCATTTTAAACCGAGTTAATTAAGCGATTAAACCTGGCCCACGGTGCGTATACGTAATATGACAACTGCCAACCTGGCGTATGCGTAATTTAACAGCTTAACAGAACAGAACAGAACAGAACAGAACAGAACAGAAGAAGAGATGACCCAATTATCCTGATTGGCCTGGCCTAGCCTAGTCTCCTTTAGTTCTACTACTATTTTTCTTTTGTTGTGTGTGTCCTAATCACTGGCCCTAAAAGAAAGCCACTCGAGTTATTAGTAGGCCACTCGACAAGCTATGCAAGTGCAACAACACTCACACACACACACATGCAACACCGATGGCCACTTGAGTTGCAGCAACAATGGTGCATGCACCTAAGAATAAGGTAACCCAAAAACACAAGCCAGAGTGAGAGATCCTACTGTCGCTGATTGAGAAAAAGGTGGGGATACAAAACAAGCCAAGCCCTGAGGCAGTAAACGCACTTGAGATTTGGCCAGGCAACAGCATCGGTGGCTGCCCGAAAAGCCCACCCATCTTATGCAGGGCAGGCACACACTCAAGGACGTTGCTCTGCCACTTGCCTTATGTGGCTCTGTGGCGGGAGCTGCGGCTGCTGTGGCGGCTGCAATGGCGCCAAATGCTGCAGTGCAGCTGAATGGGGCCTCCACAAAATCTCACCACTGCGCAGGACCTTATTTTCCTAGGCAAACACGAACAGGGACACGAGACCACGAGCATGGACACGGACACGGGCACGGACACGAGCACACGCACACACTTTGCACACCCGCATTGTCATCAAAGTAGGTCAACCGCTGTCAACGTTTTCCCGCGAGCAGCTCCAACAGCAGCTCAGGTCGCTCTCTCTCGCAAGGAGAGCGAGCAGCTGGCTCTCGCATCATGGAACACCCCGCACAGCAGCCGCAGCAGCTTTGATTACATAACACCCAGACCAAGCTCCAGACCAGGACCTGGACTCGCTAGCTGGTTGACCCACTGCCACCCCACTTTTACTGCATTTCCTTTGCAGCAGCAGCAGCAACCTGACTGACGCACACTCAGACCCCAAACCCTAAACAGCCATAAATAACAATGAAAACTGCCAAATACAACAACAACAACCAAAATTTAAACAGAGAGAGGAAAAAAAAAATAAAAACAAGAGACAGTGAAGAGCAAATAAATAACCAACAAATGAGCGACTGTCGTGGCAGCTAAGCAAATAAATTGTTTGAAAACTAATAAATAACGTGTGTAAATACCCAAACCGAACGCATATGACATGGACCTGTTCTGCGTCCGGCCTAGACACAATGGGTTTCAATAGATGTCTAATTAATAACAAATGACCAGCTGAACACATAGATATATTTTACTATATATCGAGTGCAGTGGCCAACAGCTGATAAAACGGTTTCATTTCAAATTTGTTACCAAAAACGTATCCCATCATCACGCAAAACTTGAACTTACTCGAACAGAATTTCCGCATTCCAACTCGATACGAACTTGAGAATTTTGATGCAACAAACATGAGGAAATGTGTGACTCTGTACTTTAATATTACATCAATTTGGGTGTTGGAATTTTTGTAATTTTTTTCTCGATTTAAATTAGTGTGTAGATGTTCTTTATATGATTACGTATTACTCGATGCCTGCTGCTCTGTGCAAATGTAAACTGTCCTGTCATCTCTTGTTTCCCTCAGTGTCAAACATTTTTAGATCTTAGCACGCCTTGGCCAGCAAATTAAGTTAAATTCGAAAACGTGGCTCACACCGAGTATCGAGTATCAAAAGCGGCTATATAGCATTTACACCTTTTGCTATTTTGGTGACTATGACGACAGGTACTTCGATTGCGTTGCTCGCTGGCTCACCTTGGAACTGCCAGCTGGTTTTGAGCCAAGCAAATCATGCAAAGCAACTAGTTAATAGCTGGGGACTCCGAAAGCTTTGAGTTTGGATTTGGGTTTTGAGTTTTTGAGTTTTTGAGTTTTTGGGTTTGGCAATGGACAGAGCTAGCTCTCCTTCATCTCCATATGAATGATGGTGACCCACTCACCCAATAGCTGTCCCGCTGATCTGGCAGAGAGGAGCTCTGGGCTCAGGGCTCAGACCCTAGCGCACTTGTATCTAATTGCAGGCCATTGATGATGAAACTGAAACTGAAATTGAGACTCTCGCCTGCTGCAGGGATTGCAATTGGAGGTCGTTTGTGGGGAAAATGGGTCAAACTGGGCCCAACTGGGCCCAAATCCTGCGCAAAAAGACCACATGCCAGGCATGTCTCATATACATATACATACGGATGGGTCCTCGGGGCGTATACGCTATATACATGTATCTCTCTATCTCTGGCTTAATTACAAATCAAAAGTCTGTCTGTCTGTCTGTCTGTGTGTCGCTTTTGCACAAAACTGACATCGAACGTATTGGGGGCAAACTGCAAATGAATTTCTCGTGCTGATTAATTGAAAACTTAACAACACACAACAACAGGCAGCGGCGACAACGACAAAAAAGCAAACGAAATCATAGATACTATATAGTGAGAGAAGGGCGGGGGGTATATTGCAGTGACAACAACAATAATAATAACAACAATATCATTAACAATAGTAGTAGTGACTATATAACAAAGAAGGGCAGGAATCGACGCACGTCACGATCGGCAAAAAAAAAAACAAGAGTTAGGCAAACAAATTGTATGTGTTATTTATATACGACTCGGCAGATAAAGATAGATAACGAACGAGGTAGATAGATAGATAGATAGACACAGATATTTAGAGCAGGATAGAGAGACAGATAGGAGGAGAGAGAGAGAGAGCGCGCGATATAATGGTAAATGCAAGAGCGATTGACAAATATTCTGCTTATATTCTGTTACTCCAAATATCCTTTTTTGAAATTGAATTTTGGAGCTGAATTTGAATTTGAATTTCTTGAATTTCGATTTGGATTGATTTGATTCGATTTGATTTTTTGGTCAACTTACCGGAACTGAAATGTGAGCGTTTAGTTTGTTCATTTTCCGGATCGGAATCGAGTGGCCGTTTGCGTGAGTCGCCGATCTCAGGACTTGGACATGTCTCCATGGTAGCGTCTTCGGCCATTTTTAAGTGAATGTTGCTGGTTTTGGTTATCGACTTTGACTGAAGATTTGCTTTAGCTGAAGCTATAGCTTATGCTTATGCTTATGCTTATGCTTATGCTTATGCTTTTTGCTTATGCTTTTTGCTTTGGATTTCTGTTACAGTTTACTGTTCTGTCTCGTTGGAGTTGAGTTGCCTTTGAATTGAATTGATTTGGAGTTCGATTCGATTCGTGTTTTTATTTTTTGGTTAAACGACAGTTCGATGTTTGGTAATGAGGCGTCTGTTTAGCTTGATATTATTTGGCTTTTGGTTATTCTCAGTTTTCTTTTTGGTTTTTTATTGGTGCGGGCGAGAGTTAGTTTAGTTTTCCTACTCGTCCTTGTCCCTGGTCCAAGTACTCGTCCTCGTCCTTGTCCACGTCCTTGTCCAATGAATGCGATGCGATGCGATGCGATGCGATGCAATGCCTTATCGGGGTTGTTCCTCAAACGGGCATCTGAGAGATAGAGAAGTATGATGGGCTATGCGGATGAGGTCCTTGGTCCTTGCTATCGATCGCACTCGAAATATGCCTGACGCTTTTACTCTATATATTCTTTATTCACGATCCTTCTAGATTTTGCAATGTTTTCATTTTCATATTTCATTTTTAAGTTTTTTATATTTTTGGTGGTTTTGTGGTGGAATGTGCGAGTTTTGTTTTTAACGTTTATATGAAAAAAAGAAAAAGAAAAAAATATTTATGAGTGAATTATGCAGCAATAATAAATATACATACATACAGTAAACATTTAGGCAATATATAGGTATGTAATTCGGCATTAAACTGGTAAGTAAGATATAGATACAGTTGTCAGAGTGGCAATATGCATTTCTCGATTTGTTTGTAGTTAGTAATAAGTATTAAGTAGTGGTATTAAAACACACACACACAGACAGGTGAGCAACATTTAGATAAAGATACAAACATTTGAGTTCCTCGTTCGACTTCGAGAAAAGGATGATATTTACAAAATGAGCGAGACATTTTGGAACGGAGGGGCTTTTCTTTCTTCTAAAAAAGCAAGGATTTTCGTGTGTATGTAGGAGGAGGAGTGTGTATGTAAAAAGGCATTCACATTCATCAAAAAACTTGAGAAGGAGGGCAGGCAAATGAGTTAGTCGAGTTTGAGGGGAATTTTCGATTGGATTTGATAGATAGTTTGAATCAAAAGCTTGTGAATGGATGGAAAGCAGACGACAGTAGTAGCATGAACTATAGGAATCCATAGAAATGGTTTTATTGAATGGCAGGAGGGGGGGCCCCCTATAAAAAAGGATACCATATGGGCGAGAATGCGGTTAGAAAGGCTGAGAAATCTCTGCGCACTCCAACTATATAGTAAATATATATGTATATACGATTTACAAGCAAATATCTTAATTAAAGCTAACATACAGCTACTTAAATGTAATAGTAATTTGTTATTTTATGAGCAGATTCCCCACAAAATATCACAAGTTATCCTAATAACGTACTAAAAACCATCAATAACTAGAGATGCAAAGGTTCATATGTTAGTCGTTATTCACCCAATTTAATAATAAAAAAAATAATTTAAACATTTCAGAAATCCCAACCTTATTAATAGCCCCACTATAAGCCATAAAAATATGAATCGTTACTTAAAATTCGTTCCATCTAAATCATCTCTATCAAAGTCCAAGCTCAAGCTGACTCTGTTTAGTTATTTTGGAATACCTTTGAGCAGGTTGTGTGTGTAGTGTGTGTATGTACGGCAATGAAAACCCAACTTGCAACTCAATTATGCATGAGCTGTTTTATTTTTTATTATGATTTCATTGCTAATTAAAAATGCGCCGACACAAAAACCAAAAGCGCGACCAGCAACAGCAACAACAGGCGAAAATCTGCAGCGTTAAGCGACAGACAGACACAACGCGCATTTATTTGTTTAAAATGGCGTTTAATTATACAAACGTTTTTATATTTTGTATCTTGTTTTTTTTTATCTGTCCGCTGGTAGTGCCGAGAGAGACCCCTCAAGTGTGTGTGCGGCGGTCGATTTGACTGCAAACGACCTTGACCATTGAATAAGTTTTTTCTTCTTCGTTTTATTTGATTTTTTTTTAGAGAGACCGAAAGCAAAGCAAAATGAGCAATAAATCGAAGAGATGGCAAAATGCAAAGCAAGCGTAGATACATAGATACGCGAACAAAAGCGGCGTACTATCAGATACAATTGTACTGCTGCTGCTGCAGCACCTGTCATCAGCCAGAGAACACAAAAACAGGTAAGTCGCACAAATTTGCATTTACTTAAGAAATTAGTTAGCTACAAAATGCGAAAATCAAGAAACTAAAGATCGAATTAAGCCAAGATGCGGCAGAAACGAGTTTTTCGAGTAGGAATCATCATTGAGAACCAGTTGCTTTTGCGCCTCGGTTTGGCATTTCAGTTTTTCAATTAATTCACTTAATGCTTTTCGATGTTTGTTTCTTGTTGCTTTGTTTTTCAGCTATTTCGTTTTTCGTTTATCGATATTTATTATTTGTTATTTATTTTGCAGCTTCGTAGAAGAATTCCAATTCGAGGCAAGCGTACAAAATGGCTTCCATCGAAGTCTAAACAAAAGTCACTGAATAATAAAAAGCGACAACTTGGCAAATCAAATTTCAGTTGAAGTCCCCAGATATTTTTCATGTCCTTGAATTTCCCACAGATTAGAATTCCTTCAACGAGAAAAAGGCCATTGATGCACTCAAGCCGAAAATGTGTTAATGGTGATGAATTGGAAACAGCTGCCGCCGTTGAATGAAATGAAATGAAATGCACTCTCCAATCAGTCCAAGGACTTGCCTCGCTGGCGACGGAATTATAATCATTTGAAATAGAAAAGCGTGTGGCAAAATAGAGCAAGGAAGCAGGTTATCCACGGTGAAAGATACATATCTATCTATCTATATCTTTCTATCACAATTTGCCCCAGTCACTGCAGTGTGTATGTACATCATTGTCTTATCTAATTTCTACGGAAAAAAAACTTTAAAACAAGCACGAATCATTCACCCTTTTTAGACTGCCTGTCCGTTTTCTTTCCAACTTTATCATGGAGTTCATATATGTACGTACTATATCTGTATCTGTGAAGAGGAAAGGAAATATACAATTTACCCACAAAACGAGTACTCATACTTGGCACACACATAGGGCTCGACCAACTTATCTCCCTGTCCGGGACACACTGTTATCACTGGAGCGGAGACTACAGCGATAAGGTTTATTTTCGTTGCTTTTCGGTTTGTCGATAAGACACACTCACAGATAGTCGTAGCCAGGCAAAAATGGGTTTTTGCTTTTAGGCCAAATCTATCGAAAGGGGAAGAAGTTAACAGAGCTAACTAACCCAATTGGGTTATAATGAAGTGAGGCTAGCAATGACATCAGAAGTTGCTCAGAACTCGGAACTTAAGAGTTCCAAGGAGGGGAAACAACACGCGACCCGCATATTCGATTTATATGTTTTGTTGCTTAATTGAAAGGCCTCTGGACGAGCAGTTGGTTCTAGGGCGCCACACAGAGCGCACACATCAGAAAAGCTCACGGGAATAAACAGCGGAAGAGATTCTCAACCGCTTTGCGGGGCTCTCAAATAACAAAACTGTCAGTTGATTGTGATGATGATGATGATGATGGGGTCCAGGCACTTAACACGACAACAACACTCACTTGAACGAATGATTGGGTTGGTTTGGGGTTTCCAAAAATTGACAAAAATATTGAAACTTCTGACATTAAAAACCACACTTCCTTCGACGACGACGACGGCGACGAGAGTGCGACAGTATGTGAAAATCAAATACAACTAAATTCAAAAACTGAAAACAATTAAAAACGAAATAAAGTATCTGCGAGATTCAAACACTTGCTACGAAGAGAGAAAGAGAGTGAGAGAAGAGAGAATACAGAGAGTGAGAGTGGAGAATGGAGAGAGTACGATTCTGAGAGTACGCAGAGAGAGTGGCGTATCTGGTAGATACTTTATCTACAAACTGTCGAATGACTGCTCGTCGTCGTCGCTGAGTTTGCAAGTGTTTGCTCAGCCGTTTCGAGAGAGCTCAGCTCCCCTTCCTTGCTTTGTATATATATATGTATATATACATATATGTGTATATATATTCTTATCAGTAAATAGTTTACGTTATGTGCTGCACTTTGCTCTTAATTGTTTTGTTTTTGTGTTTTCGATTCGCCAACGACTCTTGCCTCGCCCCAGACGCCTTGACGCTGATAAAACTTCAACTTGCTTACTATTTAGAGTTGAAGTTAAGAAGTGGACTCTAGTGGGTGCCACAAGTGCCTAGCGATAACCTCTTTCGAGGACCCTAAATCCCCAATCATTTGTTAGAACATCGCCTGACTTTGTTTGCTCATTTCAGACTCATTTCGGCACTCATTTATCGTCTCTTCATAGGCTTCTCATTCAAAACCTGCTGACAGCAGCACTCACTCTCCCCCTCTCTCTTCCGATATATCTCTCAGTTTGTTTGTGTTGTATCTTTATCTTTTACGGCATTCTGACAAATATCATGTGCGATAAATCTTTTTTGGCCTGCCAAAGGACGAGACACACACGCACCAGCAGGCAAACTCCTCGACTTTTTGATGACAAAGGCTGATGGGCAATTTATCCCGACATTTCCGAAGCAACATTGACATTGCTAATCTGAAAACGTTTCATTTGTTTGGCTTGTCAGCGTGTTTGTACGTGTGTGTGTGTGTGGAAAACACACACGTTTTCCCAGGCTAGTGAGGGAAAAAATGGAATTGAAAAATAATGTGCACCCAAAGTAGGTGAGTAATGAGACCCGGACAAGTGAAAAATCAGGGAGTGGGATGTAAAAAGGTGACTCACTTTGAGAACCGGACTTGACTGAATACTGGCTTTTAAAGTTAGCCAAGTTTATGGCAGCCAACTGCTAATAATGAGCTAAAAACTTGCGAATGCAATATGACTTAACCAAATGACACTCGTCATAGCTCTATGTGTGTTCATCAATCAATCAAATGTGGTGTCATCCGACGAAGTGATATGTCCATCATTTTGGACCTACATTTACCATTTTTCCCTTTTAATCTAGACAGTCCTCATGGAACAATAACCCTAGTACTTTATGGCAACAAAATCCCCTAATCATGCTGGGCAACACTTGGCCCAAAATCAAAAGCCGCAATGGAGCCATCCGAGTGCACACCAAACAATTGCCCCAAATTCATAATTGCAGTCAGCCCCAAAATGGCTTGACACACACACAGAGCAAAGGCAAAGGGTACAAAATATATATAGTATATATATTACATCTACTATATATAGTACCTAGAGTAAAGGGAGCACGGAACGCCCACCCGGAACTAGGAAATGGTAGGGAAAACTACCAAAAAATGGGAGCAACTAAAACATAATCAAACTAAATACAATCGCAGTAGCAGGTGAGCAGGCTAAGTGCGGATAACTGGTCAGCTGAACTCAGGTGCTGTTGATAACTGCCTCGGAAAAGTCACTGGGCTTTGCCACCCCTTTCCTCCAAGGAGGAGGCGTGCCAGGAGGCA